AGCGATCACATAAATATAATAGTTGGGAACTCGTTTCAATGCGAGAAGAAAGCGAAACTAGAAATGCGTTTAAGTAGATTTTCAAAACTGATTACCAAGCTTACTCCATCATCAAGGGAGAAATTCCCTGCAACAATGTCCAAACATTGCCACTCGCCATTTCCCTAAATCTCTCTCCTTTTGATCTTTAGATTTGTCTACTATTTGTCTATCTGTCTACATTTGAACTTACAATTGTCGAGTCTTTCAATTGATTCTTCACTTCTACACTCACTGATCCATTCGTCACCATTATGGCGCTAAATTTTTTAATAAACTTTGTAATAGAATCAATTAGATTTGATTCTTGTTTTACTCAACTAGGTTTTGGTTTTGGCTTTGCTCAAAAGTTGCTGTGCAGAAAAGTGGCTCTTTTCTGTGAAATCTTATTTAATGTTTTGATTTGAATGTCTGATTTTCTTGTCCCGCCTCTAAAAGATTGCTTTTATGATAAAGGGACGGATAAAAGGGACGGAGCCCACTTTATATTGTCATTCTTCTTTCCGGCTATTCTTTTCGTATTCCTTTCTTATTGCCTTTCGTATTGCTATGAAACACTGAACCAACGATTGATTCTATTTTATTGTATTTTCTCGCTAGATTAGTATTGTGCTAGATTCAGAATAAATATCTAATAATCATCGTCCCTATCGATTTTCTCTCACACACTGCACAGTTGCCATCATAAACTTGGGTAATTAAACTGGCTTGAACGACTTTTGACTGCTTCTATCCAGGCAACACTGCCCGGATAGAAGATGCCACTTTTTTTTTTCTACGAGAGACAAAGTTATGTACAGAAGTTATGCAATTAATCCAATATTATGCTCAATTTTGACTCACTTATCATACGCGAAAGATAGTAACGGTAGCTGGCATGTTTGATTGTCGAAGGGGAAATTGTTGATCTAAATCTTGAGGTTGATTTTAAAAGTGATAAAGCCAATTTGGATAAAGATAGAGATTCCAATAAAGATAAAGATCTACAGTATTCCGATTTGAATTATTCTAATTTTCTTTCGATAAGCTCAGTTATATAATAATTCGATCACTTTTCAGTTCAAAAAGGGTAAAAAGCTATTCAAAAGATCAAGACCACGATCAAGATCACGATCAAGACCACGATCAAGATCAAGATCATCAATCTTTATCCAACAAATTATCTCAATTCTGAATCGCTTTCATCTTGATCGTGATCTTGATCGTGGTCTTGATCACGATCAAGATCACGATCAAGACCACGATCAAGATGAAAGCGATTCAGAATTGAGATAATTTGTTGGATAAAGATCTCTTCTCTCTATAGATCTATAGATCTATTGGGTTGGGGAGAATGAGTCGGCGCCAAACTTTAAAGGGACTTTTTGCACACATAAAGCCTTCTTTAAACATACGTTTGGTTTCATCAAAAGGATCCACTATTTCTCTACAAAATCACTTTTGAGAGATTCCACAAAGCTTTTCTTTCGTGGAGTTTATGAACTTCCAAACGCAGCTGGTTAAAATGGCAAAGAGTCCGACTCATCATTTGAACAGTTTCTTTCACATAAACCTTCTTTGGTGTTTATATAAAAAAGATAGAGCACATTCAATTACTTAAGTTGCCAAATTTGCAGGAAGATCCCACCAATGGTTTTTTCTAGATCACAGTTTGTAGTTTTTGTGAAAAAATGGCTTTTTCTTGAGCGGAGGCGCTGTTTGAATTTTCTTTTAAATGTGATTTTGTAGAGAATTAGTTAACCATTCTACTCATATCAAACGCATATTATTTGACGAAGTCGAATTGAAGTTTTAGACATTTTTTTCATTTTCGGCGCCGACTCATTCTCCCCAACCCAATAGTTCTTTCGATAAGTTGTTAGCTTTCGATTCAAGAATGATTTACAGTGAACTCACCGTAACCTCACATGCAATTTCCATATAGTACGGAGTGATCATTTCAACCATTCCATCGCTCGTAATCCTTGTAGATTTCCCGATTGAAGGAACCATATCAGATAAGACTTTTCTGTAAATGTTATCTAAAACAGAAAAAGCTCTAAATGTACTATAATAATAAAGAAGAAATTGAAAAGAAAAACTAGATCTGCAAAGAAAAAGATCAAATTTCTTCAATCCTTTGAAATTTACAGCATATGAATGCTGTAAATTTCATATTCATTACTTACTTCATTCAATACTTACTTCATTCGTTGCTTACTTCATTCATTACTTACTTCATTCATTACTTACTTCATTCGTTGCTTACTTCATTCATTACTTCCTTCATTCATTGCTTACTTCATTCATTGCTTACTTCATTCATTACTTACTTCATTACCATTACTGAATAATGGTTGATTGATTACCTATTTGGTAGTGCGAATTTTGAAGTTGAGCTTTATTTAAACACCTATAAGCTTTAAATGAAATCTCACAAAACACGTACACACTCCCGAATTGATTATCGGGTACCCATAAAGCATCAGCTAACACATGCAACTTCTCGAGTCCCCCAAACTCCTCGGGATCCCACGCAAGTCTTGGATCCATCCAATGCTAAAACTCATTTTGAAGCAACTTTTCAAGATTTACCAATCGAAGTTGAATACAAGTGCTCAACAATTGGCTTTGTGCATCCTAAAATCGGTTATCGGAGATTTGATATGCTCAGGTCCCTTTTCTCATTAGCAATCTAACTTTGAGCTTAAATATCTTGAGCTTGGATTGTCCAATCTCAATATTCTTAATATCATTATATGCGTCAAGTCTTTCTCTGTCGATTGGTACAAAAACTATTTCGATTGGACAGCGCAACACAAAGATATTTCAGCTCAAAGTTAGATTGCCGATGGTAAATGTCCTACAATGAAAATCGAATGGATTTTCGGGAAATAAACGAGCTCTTACCAATCCAAAGATTTGTAGATAATCCAAAGAAAAGTAGACTTCGAGTGGTGGGGCGGGGTCATCTGAAAAGTGATAAGGATCTCAAAAACAATGATAAGAATCTCAGAAACCTTCCGGATTTTCATCGAACACTGGAGACAAATATCGATTGTAGTTTCGATTTGTGAAAAGCTCATGGTAAAGATTTGCCACACGGGTTGAATAGTTTGTGTATCTTTCTGAAGCCACACAAGTTATCTTTATCCTGTAAACGCACGCAATCTGACACACAGAGGGATTGAGTGTACCAAATGGTGTGAGAGCACAGAGTGATTTTCAAGCTTATCAACTAGAGCTACAGTAAGTCCAAGTCCAAGTCTCTACGTCCAAGTAAGTCCAAGTCTCTACAGTAAGTCAGCTAAAGATATTCATTACTGAATAATGGTTGAATGATTGACTACTGAAAAACATTAATGATTGAATACTGTAGTTAGGCCAAAGTACAGTCTCCTCAAACTTAGGCTTAGTTTCAAACCTGTTTCAAAAAATCCACCATAATCTTTCTTTTTTGATAAAATAACATGAATAAAAGAGAAAAGGAGTAGTAAAATTTGAAACATTGGTTTCGACATTGGAAAACCAAGTTGAAATGAGTTAAAAGTTGAGTGGGAGAGCAAATATTGAAATTTTTGGGGAATTTCCGGGTTTAGACTTTTGGTTGCTTGGAATAAAAAGAAAATGCTCAAATAAGGTTCACGAAAAATCGAGTGACACTTGAGTAAACAGCGTCTAAAAATTATGTTTTTTTGGGACGTAACTACAATCATGGACAAAAGTCTTTTAACGTTGGTTTTTATTGGGTTGGTGAATTGAAAACTGCGGGACTTTGAACGAAAATTTATTCAACATAAAACCATGAATTCATTCCAAATAATTTCCATTATTATTGACGACTTCTGCCCATTTTACAGGCAATTTGCGGATTCCTCTTTCGTAGTAGAATTTTGGTTTGTGTGTGAGACAAGTGTGAGACTCAAAATTCGAGGACTGGAGACGTCCCAGTTTGAGCACTTTCTTCAAAAGAAACCCATTTTGGTGTCAATGGAAAAGTTGTAGAAAATCAAAAATTAGGCTTATAGCCAAATTTCCAAAAAGATACACTTAGTAGTTTCGCTTAAAATGCAAGTTTTGTGAAAATTCGTAAATTTGGCATTTCTTGAAAAGCAGTTTTTGAATCGTTCTGAAAATTTGGATATAAGCTTCATTTTTGATTCTCTACAACTTTTCCACTGACACCAAAATGGGTTTCTTTTGAGTGCTCAAACTGTGACAAATGACCATAGCCGGTAGTTTCAATTCACCAACCCAATAGAAGTTTGTTCTTTTTATATCTTGATCCAAAGCCAAAGCCAAAGCCAAACCAATTTGCAAACGTTTAAAAGACTTAAAGAGCTTATTATCTCTAATTTTAACATTAAAAAGATGAATTTGACAATTTATCAGGTGTCATGAACTTTTGTTAAACTCGATTTGTAAATATGAACTTGTTCATGTAGTTTTGAATGTGAATTTCGATTTGGATTTAAAATTAGCTCTGAAATTCATTCATAATCGTAAATTGAAAAAAGTTTTCTCAATTTTTTCTTTAATCGCTTCATTTCGAATGCTTGAATGTTCATTTTTATTTTAATCAATTTAAGAAATTTTTTTTTTATTCTTTACAAAACTAAAATATAAACAAAAAAGTGCAAATGTTTGTAATATTTGAGGGAAATTTTTGCCGTAAATAGTCTAATAGAACGCGTACAGTCGCGAGGCTAACTCCTTTCTAAAAAATCATTTTTTTCTCAGCTTCTAGCTTTTCCTAACTACACTTTTGGTATCAAAAAATACTAGATTTCAAGAGCTATCATTTGAAAACATGTAGCACACTGTAGCATAAAGCAGAGCGGAGAACGAGACGTTCAAAGTTAGACTATGCGATTGTACATCGATCATTATGGTCCCGTTCTATTAGAGTATTTCGTATCAACTTACCATTAGGAATAGATAAAGAGAGTTTAAAACGATTAAATTTAAATACTTTATGTTTATTTATTGATAACAAAATTGTTGGGATCTTCAGCTATTCCGACCGATCTTCCTCCATCAACGACAACAATGGATCCAGTCGTGAAACCGCTTTCAGCGCTCGCCAAGAAGTAGACCATTGCGGCAATCTGCAGATTTTAAAGCTTTAAAGTTCGATCTAGATATTTAATAGATCATCTAAAATCTAAAAGTCATCTAAAAGTTCCTGTACAAATTTTAACTTGATTTGAAAATGACTAAAAGCTATTGAAAAAGTTTTTTAAAATAAAAACTGTAATAAAATTATACTTAAAACCAAGAACCCATAACTCATCATATATAATTAGCTTTTTTATATAATTAACCCTTTGAACCGCGCAAAAGTGGTCGACAAGACTGCTAAAATCGACTTTTTTTTCAATTTTTTAGTCACCCATAAAGTTCAGACTAATCTCAAACAAAAATTTCTCAACTTTTGATGTTCATCTTTATGCCAAAAACGTTAGAAAATGTTTTTAAAAGCGTTTAGACTAACATTTATTTGAATAGAAACTTTCTTCCCAGGAGATTTTGGTGTTTTTATCGAAAAAGAGCCCCCAGAGCCCCCGAAAAGGTTGTCCAAAATCAAGTTTAGTTTGTTTCAATTAAAAAAAATTTTTTTAAAGCTTAAAATTTGTGTAAATTGTTGAATTTCATTTGCTAAGAATCTGTATAAACATTGGAAGTTGACTAATTTCGGCTAAAGTTTACTAAAGTTTATAAATCCTTGTTTGGGATTCATCTAAACTTGTCTATGGCTGCTACGACCTACACGACCCGGGTTCGACTCCCGGCCGTGTCGTGACTTTTACTTTTTAAAAAACGAAATATGAGATGAACAACTACATAGAATTCTAAGCCTAAGAAACTAAAAATCATGTAAATCGGCCGGCGGGGGGCTGAGAACTCGCGCCTACAGATGTACAGATGTACAGACGGACAGACGAACAGACGAAAAGCGGACGAACAGACACTTCCTTTTTATCTATAGTAGATTATGCAAATTTATAGCTATAACTATGCAAATTTATAGCTGAAACCCAACCTCTTGAGGCTTTCCGCCTCTTCCAATTGGATGCGATCTCGCAAAGCCACCAAGTGTCTGAAAATTTATTTGAATAAACTGTGAGATCAAATTTTCATTTTATATTTGAATATTCGATTTATTTGAGCCTAAATTTGTAAAAGAATTTTATCCAGCAAAACATTCTCAAACCTCTTCCCGATTGTCCGCTGTGCACAAACCGGCGCGGATTTGAAACTCGGTCTCGACAAGGCCTGGGCTAAAGAGATTCAAATAATTTTGCAACTTTGATATCAATTTTTAAACGCGGCTCACTTGACACTGTTGACTCGAACTCCTTTCGGGCCCATCTCGAGAGATAAACATTTCGTGTACATATCAAGAGCCGCTTTCGAGACACAATACATGCCGGACATGGCCCACTAGGATTGAAAATGAAATCAAGATGCTTTTGCTATTGATCTCAAATACATGTTTTTTAAACAAGATTTAGTACAAGATTTAGATCCTTATTGGATACAGTCGAAATGATTACCGAAAGTTGTGAGCAAATGCTGCTGATATTGACAATGTTTCCCTTTGATTTGATGATCTCGGGAAGAGCTGTGGTTGTCATTTGATGGACACTGAATTTGGGAAATATTTGAAAAAGGGAAAATATTACGTTCTCAGATTCAAATTCATCTGTTTATCATAGTCTTCCATTGAGAAAGTCTCGAGGTAGCCGATGATTCCAAAACCCGCGTTGTTCACCTAGGAGTAGTTAGTACAGGGTAGACATGGGAAAATTTCAATCCCATCTTATTTCCACCTTCGTTTTCTTGAGCGATTGCTCTGAAATTTTGTCTATAGGTAGAAAGCAGCTTGTAGACAAAATTTCAGAGCAATCGTCCAAGAAACGAATGAGAAAACGAAGGTGGAATTAGGATCAGGTTAGAATTTTCCCATGTCTAGTAGAGGGTGGTTAATAAATATTGTCATGTGCTTGAACGCGTGTTAATCCTCGAAATTAGTTCCAAATCTCATGAGTAACATACCAAAATGTTGCTAAGAGTCTAGAGAATCTAAATATATCAATGGATTTTTAAGACAATAACGGTGAAAGATTTTATTGCGATTCTTGTGCTTTTCAAAAAAAGGCACTTCCCGAGGTCAATTCTAAGCTTCTCATACAAGTAGAATTGTTATTTATTTAGCTAAGTTTTAAAATTTTGCTTCTAAATGTTTTCTTGTTGAAATCATTTGAAATTAGCTGAAAGTAACGATTTTAAAGAAAATATAATGTTCTTTGTGGCTCTCATTTTCTCTTAAAAAAAGCGAAATACAGGTGTTTAAAAAGCAACCAAATATGATCTTACACATTCGGTTTTTAACTTTAAAAGATTGATATCAATAAGCCCTTTCTAAGCACTTTTACTTTTTTGCGTTCGATCTTCTGAGCATTTTTCACTAAACTTTAAAAAACGAGCAGTGGACTGTAATAATTTAAAAAAACGAAGTGTCTTTTTTGAAAAGCATAAGAATCGTAATAAAATCTTTCACAGTCATTGCCTCAAAAATCCATTTATATATTTAGATTCCCTAGACTCTTAGCAACATTTTGGTACGTTACTCATAAGATTTGGAACTAATTTCGAGAAGTAACACGCGTTCAAGAACGCAAAAATACTTACTAGCCAGCCTGTAAAAGATTAGATTCCCAAACAAAGCAAAAAAAGCAATACAAAGCTAAACAAACCAAGACATCGATTGATCCAAGCTTTGAGATCGTGTTAGAGACGATTTTCTTGCAAGTTTCCATTACAGTCAAATCTCCGGCAGTGATCACTATCTAAAGAAATTGTTAGAGAAAAATGGAGGAATGGTAGAGGCATTCAGGCTCAAATCACTTAAGAAATAACATTCTTTCTGTATTGATTTAATTTCCAAATTAAATCCTTACCTTTTCCTCAGGACAACCAGCCGCCACACATTCCGCTTTCGTTTTTTCAAGTCCCTCTTGCGAGCGAGCAGTGATCGAAATGGCGAAACCCTAGATTTTCAAATAAAAACTTGTAACACTCGGGGGTAGGCTACTTTGCGCAACTGGATCGTTTGCGCAACTCGCCATAACTTTCTTTTAAGTGGACCAGTCTTTATGATTTTGGTTTCATTTTGTAGATCTCAATAAGTGCAACAAAATGACACCAAAATCATAAAGAACTGACTTAGAAGAAAGTTATGGCGAGTTGCGCAAATGGCCCTGTTGCGCAAAAATTTGGCGCAAAGTAGCCCCCTAAAAGTAAACCTAAAAGTAAACCCTAACACTCGTAAATCCGCTTAAAAATACTACAATAAAATGACTTCTCAACTCACTTTAGAAGCAAAATAAACAGCTATCCCTTTGCCAATCCCAGCTGAGGCTCCTAGAAAGAAAGAGGTTTAAAAAAATGAAAAGAAATGAACCTGTAACAATGACGACTTTCATCTTGTATTGATTATCTAAAAAGAAAAATTAAAACAATTTCAAAACAACTTCAAAAACGAAAAAATCTCGAAAAGCTTTCTTTTATTTGTTTAGTGAAGCAATCGACGAGTTTACACCTGGGAATTGTTAAGAAAAGTGAAAAGGCAAAAAAAATAGTAAAAAGTAACGAAAGATTCAGCTGCTTGATACCAAATGAGAAAGATTTCTATTTAAAGTATTTTCGATACTACTTTCATCATGAAAAAGTAATTTTGTCATCAAAAACTTTCGTCATCACCCTTTTCTTCTGCCGTCTTATTCTAAAACCATCAATTTCGAGTGAGAAAGAGAGAAAAGTAGACAAGGAAACAAAAAAATAGACAAAAGACAAAAATTGCAAAAAACGGTGTAAAAGCTAAAAAATAGACATAAAATGTTACAAAAAAGCAGAAAACGGTGCAAAAAAAATTGACTAGACACAAATCATATGGGATATTTGAGATATTTTACAGAGAAAGTCTTGAAAAAGAAATGTGCTTAGTCTAGTGATCAAGGACGTTTAGCTGTAGCTGTAGACTAAAAGAAAACAGATTAAAAAGCAGACTGGTAAGGGAAAAAGAGAAGCGGGGAAACCATGAGAATTAAGAGAATTTATTCGATTTTTTTTTTGCGACTAAACTTGGGTAATTAAACCGGTTTAAAGACTTTTTCGGCCAGCTCTATCCGGAGCAGTGTGCTAGACGTCGTTTTTTTCCTATGAACAACATAGAAAGAACGCATACCGTAAAAGTTGTAACTCTCACCATAACTTTCTTCTAAGTGGGTCAATCTTTATCATTTTGATGTCATTTTGTTGCACTTATTGAGATCTACAAAAATGAAATCAAAATGATAAAGACTGACCCACTTAGAAGAAAGTTATGGCGAGTTGCGCAAATGACCCAGTTGCGGAAATTAGCCTACCTTGGCTAGTTTCTTGGCTAGTTACTGTACTGTCTTAAGTCTTGGATTAAGTTTTTATTACTATAGTACTATATAGTCATAAACTGGATGTAGTAAAAATGGCACGAGAAGTTTCTATGCACTCTGCAGCCAAATTCTATAACATCGATCGATCTCAAGTGAAACAATGCCTGAAGCAGGAAGAAGAGTTAAGAACAACGAGTGGAAAACGAAAACGACTTCAAGGAGGAGGTCGGCATTTGAAATCATTAGATATTGATGCTGCACTTGCGAATTGAATCTGAGAGAGAAGAGCTGAGAAGAAAAGAGTCACTCGACGGATCATCTAGCTCTAGTGCTGGAATCGATCCAAGTGATGCCGACGACTAGCTGATTCACTGTTTTAAGCCCGATGGCCCAATTCCTACAAGACTACAGTTATTCAGAGATGCAAGTGTCGAAAAAGAATTCGACGAGCTCCTGGATTCGCTTACTTCAGCAAATCTTCTCAATTTTCGTCAAGAAACAGAAATACAGTGGTCCACAAAAGTAATGCCCCATTGCCATTCAAAAGTATTTTTTGCAAAATTCCTCCTGAAAACATGTATTTAAAATATATTTTTTTTCTTTTAAAATACTTTAGAAATTCTAGTTGTTAAATAACTGGATTTTTTTGATTGAGATCCTTCCAATCAAAAGATCGAGGTGGAAGAGTGCGATTACCCCTAAAATTAGCTCCACAAAAGTAATGCCCCATTGATCGTTTTCATGATTATTCTTTTTTGTTTCTCCTTCTATGAACATTAAATGTATTCTAATGTATTATTTAGATCCCTGACATGAAAAATCTTGACACTCCGAAGAAGCTCCAAATCGCTAAGGCCCGGGAAAATGGGATGCGGGAGAAGGATGTGGCCAATCTCTTCAATTGCTCGATATGGACAGTGCGCCGCATTTTTTCTCAATCAAAAGCCGGCAAAAACCTTCATCGAGGCCTCAAGAGTGGCCGACGACCAATCACAACCATAAAAGAAGATCGAGCCGTGATCCAAATGGTGAAAAACGATCCGAACAAAACATCAACCGATGGAAGCCAAATGATGATGGATCAATTTAACAAGGTTGTATCGCCGCAAACGATCAGACGACGATTAAATCAAGCTGGATTATATGCAAGATGGGCTGCATAAACCTCTGATGAATTCTAAGCACCGGAAGCAGCGCCTTGATTTTGCACGGACCTACCGAAGTTGGACAATAAGTGATTGGGCGAAAGTGCTATTTACCGATGAGACAAAAGTCAATTTATTTCACGCGGACGGCAACCATCTTATTCGGCGACCGACTGAAAAGCGATACACACTCAAGGACATTCGGCCTACGGTGAAATTCAATGGAGGCAACATAATGTGTTCGGGTAAGAGCCTTTTTAGTATTTTGTCACCTGACTTTTTTCTTTAGGAGCGATGTCACGAACTTCAGTAGGTCCATTAGTTCACGTCAACTCAACGATGGATGCTGTGGCCTACAAGAACATTATGAAGACTCAAATGCTTCCTTTTGCAACTCAAACCATGCCTCCTGGATGGATGCTCTACCAGGACAACGACCCGAAACACAAGTCAAGGCTCATGATGGGAACGGTGGTGACTCTTCAAAATGGTACACGAGCACGACTTCCGGGCTGGTTTGCGGCAAGTCGAGTCAAATTGATCAATCCACCTCCCTACTCGCCGGATATCAATGTTATCGAGCATCTCTGGTCATTTGTGAAGTCATGATTCAAGGGAAAGAAATTCGATTCGAAGGCTGCCTTATGGGTTCACATTCAACGTCTCTGGGCCACCATCCCCAAAGTCTTTTGAAGAATCTCGTGGATTCCATGCCGAATCGACTCAATGAAGTAATAAAAGCAAAAGGAGGACCAGCCAAGTATTGATTTTTAAAAATTGTGTTAATTCTTTGCAAATGGGGCATTACTTTTGTGGAGCTAATTTTCAAGTAGCTTATTGTTTTTGTTTCATACTTTAATTTGTAAGTAATGTATACGGATAAATCTTATATTCTTGAAAAGTCGAGTCTTATGGGTCGGTAAAAATACCCTACTCTTTTTTCTGAAGTGTCGATTTTGCAAGATTTCCTTACAAAACATACCGTTGGATGGCAATGGGGCATTACTTTTGTGGACCACTGTATGTGGTCATGTAAATGGCAAAAAGTATCATCGAAAAAAATAATGCCCCGAGGCTACTATTATAGCTTTTACGGTAACCTGGTTTTTCTATTTAGAAATGATTGAAACTTTTCCTAATCTTTTCTACCAAATGTGATCTGGTTGGCGATCCGATCTGACCGTAAGTGGGTGTCGGATTGGAGTGTGAATTGGGTTTAGAAAAGAAAAAGGAAGAAAAGAAAAGGGGAGGATCTCCCGCCGAGTTACAACCTGGCCTCTATTCAAAAGGAAGATGGGTGAAAGAAAGAAGAAAAGAGGGAAATGAATATGCATGGGGGAAGGGAATCTCTCTCACTCATCCCATTGAACATTTGAAGATTTGAAGATCGATCCGAGATTTATCTTCAATAGGGATCACCTTTCTCAAGTTAAACTTACTTATTAGCTTCAGATTTTAGCTTATTTTAAATAGTTCTAGTTAAAACTTATAAAATCTGCCTATTTTCGATTTACACCGCCAAAATCTTCTTTGAAAAGGTTATAGATTTTAGATTCAGCTTAAAATCACTACTTAATCATGGAACTCTTATCGAGCTAAATGCGCTGAACGAGCTAAATGAGCTAAATGAGCTGAACGAGCTTAACGAGCTGAACGAAAAGACTTTTACTAAACAGTCGACTCTCTAACGGAACTCTCTAACGGAACTCTATAACGGAACTCTATATAACGGAATGAAATTTGGATCCCAGCTGACTCTAAGCTATAGAAAACGGCACTCTATATAACGGAAACATTTTTTGGTCCCGTCCATTCCGTTATAGAGAGTCGACTATATTATTGACTCGTGATCAGTTTTATCTTTCTTTACAAAACCATCTTCAGAACCAATTCCTTAATCCCAACTGATTTCCCTATTGTTTCCCAAATCTGAAGATCCCCTCGATCTACAGTATTTATTGTGGACATCCCACTGTGCTCAAGAAATAAGTGACCCCTTTCCCCATTCTCCCTATTGGTCATCCCTTTCGAGAGAAATCCCATTAACACTTGCAGCTGCTGGATTTGTTCTATAGTCTCTTATAGAATCTGCTCAATTTGTTTTGGTATTGTTCTAGATTTACTTGTTGATCAAGCAAGATTTAAAAGCAATCCCATTTTCTTTTTGAGTCCAGCTTTTGTCAATCCCAGAGTCCAGTCGACACTGGACTCTGGGATTGATAGAAGAAATTCATTTCTCTTTTTACTGTATGATTCTTTATCATATTCTATTGTTAAAGGACCTTTGTAGTCATCTGAATCAAACAAAGAATTTGTTTTCCTGGATTTTCCCTTTTCCCCAATATCTCCTTATGTTTCTTCTTTGAGTTGAGAGATTCACTCAAGTTTTTCTCGAATTCCCCTCGGGAAAAACTCACTTTTTGACAAGTGACATCTCGTTGAATAACCCCGATACTTTTGAGAACGACTGGCTCTTTTCCTTTCTCTTTTCCCTTCTTACTATCTTTTATAAACCACTTGATCTATTCTGCCTAATTGATTGCATATGTCAAATTAGAGCAGGAAGAGATCTGATTTCATGAGGTCAATGTTTATGATGAGACTTTAAACCTTGGCTATTGATCGAATTCAAAGATCATTTGATACTGAAGCTGAAGAATATTGTAATTCTGTCAGTTACAGTAACTGTTACAGTCAGCTACAGTATACCTGGCAGGCTTCTTGCAGCCTGTCAGGTATACTGTAACTGGCTGTAATCTTGCAGCAGATTCTTCTGTCACTAGCTATTCATCCTAACCTCAGCTTCTCAACAAGTACATTCAAAAGTCACAATCTGTTAGTGTTTCCCATGCTTTTCATGGATGAATTGCTGGGTAACTGAGTGAAAAGGAGACTTCTTTGGGTCATATGGCGCGGAGGAAAATCTCAAAGGGATATTGAAGAGGTCAAAAAAAGAGATCCAAAGATTTAGGACAAAGAAGGGAGATTCAATATTTAAGATCACTTGACTTATAAGTGATTTGCTTTTGACAAATTTCTACCGCTTTTTGCTACCATATGCCTCAAAAACGACGGAGTTTCATTTAGCTTCAGTTCCATTTGCGATTTCATTACACCGATTCTTGTCAGCTATCTAAAACTAAAATCTTATAGGAGCCATTGCACTGCAAAGCTTTGCACAGATCATCTTCTCATTATCGGTTCAATTCAATTATCGGTTACCCAACTCTTACACCATTTCCTTTCGTTTCCAATCATTTTCAAAGTCAAGAGTGGCTTTAAGTCTCATTCTCAATCTTATGTTTGGTTTTTTTCAAAACTTCTCATCCAAATACATGCCATTATCTGAAATGAGCTGATTGCGCAATGTTCTCTAATCCGACTCTATTATTCCACCTAATTGTCGCATATGGGAAAGAAGGAAAGAGGGAAATAAATGAAAAATGAATGAGAGAGGGAAATGAATGTCAAGAATGTCATGAGTCTGTTAAATCTTTGACTTTTCACAGAATTCTGTGAACAATTTTGATTTTAAAGATCTTAATATTGTAGAAATTCTAGAAAAACTTCTTTTAGTACACTCATAAATTTATCAATTTTAAAAGTAGAGTGTATTCCTTGCGAGTAAGTAAATTACTCGAGTTACATTTAGATGAGTAATTTTTACTCGATTAAATGACGTTTTTAAAGTCGAGTAACTACGAGTAATCCTCTTTACACGTCGAGTGAATTGAATATCTTTACATTTGAAGGGAGTTTGCCATCAAATCAGTCAAATGATTGAATATCTTTAAAAGAAGAATAAGTCGTCGCTCGTCATTTTTTTTGCAATAATTTTGCTGAATATCTTTAAAAGGAGTCGTATTGGGTGCATATGAAATGGTTGATTTATGTTAATTTCTTCACCAGAGCAACTATCTAATTTCTGTTTGGTTAAAATGAAAAGTTATAATCTTAAGCTTAAATAACTAACTTAAATAACTTGTTTGCCATGGAGAAACTTTTCAATCATTGCAAATAACTCAACTTTGATGTTCTTTTGCCTCAAAGTTCTTTTAGCTCGATATTTTTTAAAATCAACATATTTCTATTTAAAAATTCATTTCAGTAAACTTATAGCAATATCTTTTTTTTTGAATTTTGAAAAGAATTTGAAGCGATAAAGCCTGGATTTTCTTAATGAATCTGGGCTTTTTATTGAAAAAGGTTTATAAAGATTATGATTGCTTGAAATACTTTGTGAAACAGTTGAAATCTTTCGTCACAAAAGCTGATTATTGGCATCACTTTTCACTAGCAACAAATCATAAAAGAACTTTTTGCAATTCGGTCATTGATTGGGGGAAATCTGGAGAAAAATTTAGCCATTTCATATTCACTAGCAACAAATCATAAAAGAACTTTGTTGATTAAAAAAAATCGAGCTAATAGAGCTTTGACGCAAAAAGAACATCAAAGTTGAATTATTTTTGCAATTCGGTGATTGATTTGGGGAAATCTGGAGAAAAATTTAGCAATTTCATATGCATTAATCCAATATTTAAGCGCCATCCTCATCATTTTTTGCGCCAATCATCGAATTTTCTTTTGATTCAATAATTCTCGCTAAAAGAACGGTAATTTTTTTTCTCAAGTTTGCGTTTTAAAAAAACGCTTTACTCACGAGGAGCAAAATCGATTTAAAAACATTGACTTGATTTTATTCCTTTACCACAATTCCCCTTTGCCGCACTTTACCACACTTTTCCTTTACCACACTTCCCCTTTAGCACACTTCCCCATTTACCATACTTTAGCACACTTCCTCATTCACCATACTTTACCACACTTCCCCATTCACCATACTTTACCACACTTCCCCATTTACCATGCTTTACCACACTTCCCCATTCACCATGCTTTACCACACTTTCCCATATTGATCCTCAGCTCGCATAAGAGATTTGCCATGATGACAAATTTACATAAATTCTCCATAATTGGTTGCTCACTTTTCACGGATTGAGGGAAAAGAGGGGAAATCAGTAGTCTGTCTCTTGTTTTCGAAGAGGAAAAAGGGGCATATTTATAAGCATTGAGGTGGGATAAACAGTTGGACGGGGGAAAGAGAGATTCTTTTACACCATACTCTTTCTAGTCAATGAATATACTTACCGTAATCCGAAGAAAAGACTAATTTGATAAATGTTCTTCCCCTTTAAATGAACTTCATCGATTCTACGTCTTTTTTTAAACACATTTTACGCTATTTTCGCTATTTACATTAGCTTTTGCTTTCTTTTTTAACACATTCGCTATTTAGAAGTCCCTTCGTTCACTGTTTTAATGATAATTTGGTGTAAATTCAAAGAGAAATCAAATATTATTATAGTCATTTGACAGCTCTGAATCTCCTCTTGAAAACTGATACAAAGTTACGAAAAACTTCCTGCAAAATAAATAACAAAAATGCTTTTAAAGATTTGAGCTGACATAATCGTTTGAGTGAACAATAATCGTTATTAGTACGGTCGATTGGTGAATCGTCCTGAATGTATTATCATTAAACTCATTTTCAACTCACTTTCCAATCGTTTTATTTGCTTCATTGTTCTCAATTTGTTCTCATAATCAGCTCACTGTAAAAGATTTTTTTTTCAGAATGGAAACTCCAGAGAGGGCAACTCCAACAGAAACGAAAAAGTCAAGAATTTGGAATCCGGCTTTAGACCTTGATGAAGGCCCTAAGAATCTTAAAAAGGAAAAGGTTTGTCTTCGATTTCCGATTCATTTTTAAAGCTTTCTGTTACATATCTAGTTAAAGATCTAGTTAAATATCTAGTTAAAGATCTTGTTAAATATCTAGTTAAATATCTAGGTAAATATCTAGTTAAATATCTAGTTAAATATCTAGTTACCGTAAGATTAACTAAGTACGGTAGATCTAGATAAAAATAGTGCATTCAAATGCGAATTTCTTGAGCTAAAAGTTCTCGACAGTTCTCTTCACTTGCAGCTCGACTGTGCACCGATCTCCATTCCACAATTCACTCCATTCATGCAACCATTCTTGAATCTCTTTGTTGAGGTAATTTGAAATGAAATTGAATCTTTTATTTATCAAATCCCAGAATTACATCCAATCAATGCAACCATTCACCTGGCGGATCCAACAATTTCAACAAGCCAACAAGAAATTTCAAGTGAATCTCAAGCAGCAAAAGCAAGCTGTGATCCCATCACAAAGTAACACTGAAGCCTCGACAAGCAATGCGAACAATGTGAACAATTGTGAGTTTATTTGAAAAGCCGAAGATCAAAAGATTAGAGTAAAACTTTTAGCTTCAATTGGCCTTTTAATAGGTTGATGCATAAGTGTTTTTGTTCCTTTTCGTCTGCCGTTTCAAGCCAACAAATGCACCAATTAAACTACGGTTGATTTCATTAGAAAAACCAATTATTTTTCTGCAAAATAACATTAAAACGGGTTTAAAAATATTTAATGCCTGGATTTTCTTGAGAGTATGAAGTCGGGTAGTCAAAAAGGGCTAACTCGATGATGCGGTTTAGACACCTTAGCTAAAGAAAACCTATCTTCGTGTCAATAGATAAAAGATAGAGAAAAAAGAGTTTGATATTTCGCCAAAATTTCAGAGAAATTCATTCAGCCAATTTTTCCGTAGAGTTTTTTATAGATTTTTACGAAAAAGGCGTTTTTCACTCTCGAATTTGCTTGAAAGTGAACCGAAATTGATTTAAAAAGATGGAAATTGAACAAAAAAACACTTTTTTTATAGAGCAAACTATAGATTAATTGGTGAATTTGTTACTTTTTAACAGAAGTACGAAAAAAACGAAAAGACTTATGCATCAACCTAATAGTAGTAGTAAAAGGCTAAAAGGCAAGCAAGCATTGGATTCCCTATTTTAACAAATTTGGTTCCCTATCTTAACAAATTTGGTTTCCTTTCTTAACAAATTTGATTCCCTTTCTTAACAAACTTGGTTCCCTTTCTTAACAAATTTGATTTCCTATCTTAACAAATATGGTTCCCTTTCTTAACAAATCTTACTACCAAGCCTTTTAGCTAAAGAATAACTTTTCGGATTTCACGAATAACTCTAAATTTTCAATTAAAGTTTCAACAAACATAGTTTCTAGTAAAAAGCTCAAATTTTAAGTTTTATTTGAGGTTATTTGAGGCAAAAAAAAACGATTTCAGCTCAAATTCCGAATCCGCTTGTCGCTTCAGCTTTGGGTTTACCGTCACAGGGAATCGAGAATTCGTGCGCGATTTGTGGAGCATCGTTTAGGTAAGGAAAATTTGTTCTGAGGGAAACATTTGAAGGTTTTATCTATTCAAAAAGAGATTAAGATTTATGCTTTTAAAGCCAAGCAATTTGTAAAGTTCTTTGATATTTTTCAATCAATTTGGCTGTCCAATTGCTGTCCAATTGCTGTCCAATTGCTGTCCAATTGCTGTCCAATTGCTGTCCAATTGCTGTCCAATTGGCTGTCCAATTGGCTGTCCAATTGGCTGTCCAATTGGCTGTCCAATTGGCTGTCCAATTGGCTGTCCAATTGGCTGTCCAATTGGCTGTCCAATTGGCTGTCCAATTGGCTGTCCAATTGCTGTCCAATTGCTGTCCAATTGCTGTCCAATTGCTGTCCAATTGCTGTCCAATTGACTATCCAGAGCCTTTTCATTTCTTTTCAGCTTTCATTTCAAATCAACAAATGCACTAAACAGTTTATTTCATTGAAAAAGCCAATCATTTATCTACAAAATGCTATTAAAGCTTAACAAATTAGGAATTTAAAAAGAATTTATTTTTCACTGAAGAATTTCAGACTGACAACTGATTTGGTTGCTCATATGCGCTCAAATCATCGAATGTGTCGATTCAAGCGGAAAAACGAGAAATTGTAAGCAAAATTGATTACTGGAAACTGTAAGATATGCTAATTTTATGTAAAAATATCTACAGGGTATCCGGAAAAAAAAAGTGGTGGATTTTGATCTTGAAGCTCTAGTGGATTCTTGACATTTTGTAGTAAAAGCAGAAAGTTTTGTGGGGAGATAGAGGGATTCAAAAGTGTGTTTTTCATGTAAACGTGGATTTTGAGCTCCCCAGCCGATGAATATGGGATCGGGGATCGGGGATCGAGGATCGGGGATCGGGGATGAATATGGGATCGGGGATCGATGAATATGGGACCCCATTTCACAAAGTCATCAAAAAAAATCAACTTGATCTTGTTGTGTGACCCCTGAGGCAAAACCATTTTTGACACCACGATGAGCGTTGAAAAATCAACGAGAAAATTTTTCCAAACTCAACCCGATGGCCACTTTTTTCCGGACACTCTATAAATATTGTTTTTTTAAAAAACTTTTCACCAATTCCTCTTTTTTTCGTGTGCAAAATTTATTGTGATACTTTGCTTTGAGTAAAATTTCTTTTCTCACTCTTGATCATTATTTTGTCAATTAGTTTGGCAACAATGAAATGTCGGTTTTTGGTGATAATTTAATTATTAAAAAAAACACGAAAGAAAAGGTTTTAATTCAAAAGGTATTCGTCATTATTAGTCATGATTTGTTCCCATCAAATCACGGATACCGTTCCCAAAAAACTATGGAGTTTTGGATGTAAAGTAGTCAGTGAGGGCTTAGGTTTCAATTCAAAAGGTATTCGCCATTACTATTGATGACTTGTTCCCATCTTCGCAAATCACGGTTACCATTCGCAAAAAACTATGAAGTTTCGGATGTAAAGTAGTCAGTGAGGGCTTAGGTTTCAATCCAAAAGGTATTCTCCATTATTATTGATGACTTGTTCCCATGATCGACGCAAATTACGGATACCGTTCCCAAAAAACTATGGAGTTTTGGATGTAAAGTGAGGGCTTTTATGATCTGAGAAAGATCATCAAATTTTTCTCCCTCAAGAAATTGTTTTAACGATCGAAACAAAAAGTAATCAGAAGGAGCCAGATCAGGTGAATAAAGCGCGTGAGGCAAGACTTTCCAGCCGAGCGCCTCGATTTTCTCATGAGTTTGCTGTGTGAGGTTTTGCGTTGTCGTGCACGAGTCGGACTCTCGACGATTTAAGCCCCAATTTCTTCAAAGCGTTGTTAACTCTTATTGATTGCTTTGCGTAGAGGTCGGCATCAACTGTTTCTTTAGGTTTCAACAGCTCATAATGCACCAATCCTTTTACATTTCACCAGCAACATAGCATGATCTTTTTCCCATGGATGTCGGGTTTGGGTGTTTGCCCAATGGAGAGCGATTAGTTTTTTTCATTTTATATTCTCATAGCTAACCCATGTCTCATCAGAATTCAAAATTCTACTGGAAAAATCGTGTGATTTGAAGTTTTGAAGCAAGATTGAGCAAGCTGAGACGTGTAATTTTATTGATTTGAGTCAGTTCATGAGGAACCCATTTTCCAACGCGGCTCTTTTTCCAAAGTTGATGCAAATCATTTTCAATTGTCCTATGAGATACCTCAAAAAAATTCTGCTAGCTCACAAAGAGTTAGTGTTGTCGTCAATAATTTGAAGGAAATGTTCGTTTGGCACTTTTGACGGGGGGTTTACCCTTTGGCTCATCATGGAGGCTTTCATCAGCATTTTGAAAACATTCAAAACCATCTCTGACATTGACGCTCACTAATACTATCATATTCAAAAAGATTTAAAAATGATGCGATGAGATTCAGCCCTCGATTTTCCTTGTTTAAAATCATAGAATAAAGCAGCTCAAATACGAAATTTTTCGTCCTCGATTTTTGTGGCAGAAATTGAACGGCTAGAGATGTTCTAAATGTTCTAAATTGAACGGCGTTCTAAATGTTTTTTATTCTATCTATCTATCTAAAGACTTGTTTATATTTATGAAAAAAGCGGGAAATTATTGCTTTTCAAAGTTGAAAATACAAAAAATAGCAAACCGATATTTCATGATTGCCAACCTAATTTATATAAAGCATGAGAGACGTCTGTTCTTATGCTTTATCTAAATTAGGTTGGCATTCCTGTCCGTCTGTGCTCAGTCATTGGCAAAAAAGGGCAGGGCTTAGATTGAGCGGAAAACGTGGACCTCCCCAGTGAAAAACGCGAACGTTAGTGAGCGTTCGAGAGCGCTAGCGAGCGCTAGTGAGCGTTCGAGAGCGCTAGTGAGCGAGAGCGTTCGAGAGCGCTAGCGAGCGCTAGTGAGCGTTCGAGAGCGCTAGTGAGCGTTCGAGAGCGCTAGTGAGCGTTCGAGAGCGCTAGTGAGCGTTCGAGAGCGCTAGTGAGCGTTCGAGAGCGCTAGTGAGCGTTCGAGAGCGCTAGTGAGCGTTCGAGAGCGCTAGTGAGCGTTCGAGAGCGCTAGTGAGCGTTCGAGAGCGCTAGTGAGCGTTTTCCGCTGGTCTAATGATAAATCAGTTGATTTTTTGATTCTTTAAATTGCCTAAAAAGAAATTAACAAAATATTTTCTACAAAGCCTATTCATAGGCTGATAATGAACCTTTTCCGAGAAAATTTCTCAAGAAATCGTCTCAAAATCTCCAGGGATTTTTTTTGTCTTGAATTATTTTAGAAAGAAATATTTGCTATTCAAGAAAACAGGAAATTCAAGTTCTCGGAAAATCCAGCTATTAGCTTTGACCTTTGACTTGAATCTTTGACATTCTTAGATGTCTTTTGGTCAAGGGAATATTAACAATGATGTTCAAGTGCTTTTCATATTTGCTGTGAGTTTTAATATTTTATTTTACAGTAACAATATTCTTTTATTATTTTACAATACTTTATTTTAAAGTAACAAATCTTCTTTGTTAAGCTTTCTTATCTTATATTCTTATCTAAAACTAACTTGAGTTCACCAGAGGATAAGTGTAGCCATACAGGCGAAATGTTAAACCTATTCAAATAAGTTTAAGTCTAAAGTCTAACAACTATATGTAAATCAAGTACTTGATATTGAAAGGACTTACCCCTGCCAGATTTTCCTTTTCAAGATCTTATCAAGACCTTTTCAAGATCTGTCAGACTGCTCGTTCAAAATTGTAATCTTAGACCAGATTTCCATTTGAAACCCTCTTAAAACCTAAACATTTTCAACATTTTTAGCTAGGCATTCTCGGCGTTTTGACTGGTCTCTATGGCTTTCGAGTAGTCCTCAACAGTTCTGTCATCAATGGAATCGTTCGCCATTTTCTTCTTTGCATTACTCTTTCCGCGACAACGATCAATGCTTGTCATTTGTGTTGGGGAATGCCGAGAGCACTTTGGTTCGATGTTAGACTTAGGAATAGATTATAATTTAATCTATTCACACGAATAATGTGGTCCAAACAATACTCAAGCACAGCCTTAAGCTCTAAATTTAGGGAAAAATCGATAGTCTAGCCAGCGGGGTTGAACCCTTGACCTCCAGACTAAGATACAGAGCTCTTAGTCAGTCCCTTAGTCAGGCTATGGTGGCAGATTGGATGAAGCTTTTGAATTAAGCTTTTTTATCAAGCTTTTCATGACGCTATCCTTGCCGAATGCCACGTTTTCTTTATTTGATCAATTCTTAGGTCTGAAAGCGTCAACATTCCCCTTATCGACAATATTTTCGGCTTCATCGCTTTTGGATTGATCTCAGTGATCTTAATATCAAAGGTTTTCTTTGAAAAGTTAGAGAAATAGAGAAAATTTTAGATTTTATTGGGCATTAATCGCTTTACCGCGATTATCTTTGAGGGGAAATTTTATGAAATCATGGAAAAGCACAAAAATTTCCAATACAGTATTTTGATCGGCTATTCGATTCTGATGAGTGCGCCGATGGTATTTCGTGGGTTTTTACGATAGGCTTACCTTGAGTAAAAGAGTTTTTAGGCGCTAGGGTCGACTTAGGCTTGTTCTAAGCCTTGACTACCGTAGTTTGGAACCCAATTACAAGCTTGTAGCTTGTAACCCAAGTACAACCCGTGTAGATAGTAGCAAAGGCTGAATAGCAACAAGATGCTGTATTTTTATTAAGGATTACTCGATATAGTAATCATTATCTAGTAATCAGTATACGGTATCTAAGATAAAGTAGTTGAGGTAGCTGGGATACGTTTTAACCAGCTAATCGAGTTCACAAAAGTCTCGAAAAGATTTCAATCTTTGAAAGCAATTCACTTTGCCAGAAAGAATGCATTTTGAAAAACACAAAGTACATCTAGAAGTCAAGTCATTTTTCCAATTACAGCCGGATTTCGTGTGATTTGGGTGACCGACGGGGTGAACGCGTTCTTTCTCGAAAACAGTCCACACAGTGATCTTTATCTTAATATTTCACAGGTACAATTCTCAAGAAGATACAAAGAGCCATTGTCTGAAAGAAAACGTTCAACTTTTTCAGATCCATTTAGCTCATGAGACTAAAAAAATGTTAAAGAGTACAAAAAGTAATCTATGAAAGGCAGAAAAGGATTGGCTAGATTTAAGAATAGAAAATAAGTCTAATATGCAAATGTTCAGCCTTTTGCCGGCTATGCAACGATCATGATTTGTCTCTTCCTTGACACGATCACTTTTATTCTTATTTATCGACGAATGAAAGTGAGATCGTTGGCATTATCAAAAATGTTTCTTCTAGATTTTTAAACTCAAAAGTTTACATCAACAACGAGCAAATCTGAAGAAGCAATACTTTTTGTTAACACAGGTAAAGATGACTGGAGGTGGAGTAAAGGTGACTGGAGGTGGAGTAAAGATGACTGGAGCTGGAGTAAAGATGACTGGAGGTGGAGTAAAGATGACTGGAGGTGGAATAAAGATGACTGGAGGTGGAGTAAAGATGACTGGAGGTGGAATAAAGATGACTGGAGGTGGAGTAAAGATGACCGGAGCTGGAGTAAAGATGATCAGGCTCAGTTTTGATTTATGATCTTGCAAAGATTTTAGGATACTCAAAACTGTAGTAAACTATAATATGTGCGGTTCCAAATAAAAAATCAAAAATTAGCGGCACGGGGGTTTGAACCCGAATCCTTTGCGCTGTAGAAAAGCCCTTCACTGCCATCACTGCGCCACAGCCACTAGCTACCGGTAGCCCAAACTTTCGACTTATCATTTCCAGATGATGTTCAGTAACGGTGCTGTTGTAGTGTCAACAGTGGGGATTCTCGTCATTTTAACCTTTACTGCAAACGATATGGCAACTTTTATCTGTTATACAGCTATGTGGCAAGCCTCTTGTGTTATGGAAGGGTTATTTAAACAGAGATTTTTAGACAAAGAAGGCTTTTAGACTATTTTGTATCGTTTTCTTGCGAGATCGAAGCCATTCTTCTAGAGTCTTGAAAATAAGAGGTGCTCCAACGATTACAACTGGATGAAAGGTGTGATTTGCAAAGTTTTTTCAAAACTGACATCACTTTTATTCAATATTTGTTGATCACTGTTGATTTAAATCCGTTTTTAAAAAGATTTTCAATGCAACGAGCTTCTTGTCTTTTTCGTGAGTTCTGTGTTCGATTTTTCAGATTTACTTTCGTGATTCCCGAAGAAATATGGTTTAGTTTTCTGAATTTATCGAATTTCAATCAAATTATAATAAAATTATAATAAAATTTTCATAAAACAGACCTTTTTTGATAGACCAAACATTTCAATGATTGTCGTTTTGATGGTTTGATTTAAGAGTAAATAGACGACACCGGGGACACCTGAAGAACAGTTTGAGGTTACAGTTAGAGGGTTACAGTTAGTTACAGTTAGAGGTTACAGTTAGAGGTTACAGTTAATTACAGTTAGAGGTTACAGTTAGAGGTTACAGTTAGTTACAGTTAGAGGTTACAGTTAGAGGTTACAGTTAATTACAGTTAGAGGTTACAGTTAGAGGTTACAGTTAGTTACAGTTAGAGGTTACAGTTAGAGGTTACAGTTAGTTACAGTTAGAGGTTACAGTTAGTTAGATTTACAAACGAAGATGTTCCAAAAGACTTTTTTCGAGTAAAGCTTATTCAGATTAAAAGCCAAGCTTGAGCTTGGTCAGATTTAACTCAGATTCAAAGCTGAGTGACTCAGAAAAGCTTCAAAGCTCCTTTAGAGTTCCTATCTTCAGCTAAGGTTTGAATGAGATTACTGTTAGAAAGCTAGAATGAGAATGAGAATGAGATTATAGTTTAAATTGATAGAAAGCAAAGAGTTCAAAAGTTTAACTGTTTTTGTTTGTCTTTAATCTTTACCGTGACTCCACTGCCAAGCGACATGCCCCAAGACCATGAGCGATTGCGGGAAACCGGGCACATAGTTCATAAAAAGATAACCCCAAGCAGCTAAGACGTGAGTCGAACAAATGATGAATGCTTGGATGTAAAGCTGAAAGACTTTTGTAAGGGAAGGGAAACTCTAAATAGAGTACAGTAATCTAAATGTACTGGAGTACAGTTAGCGTACACAAGTACAGTTACATACAGTTACACAAGTACAGTTACACACAAGTACACAAGTACAGTTACATAGAAGGTTAACAGTTTCATGAATTGAACAAAGTTAGACCAAAGTTAGACCAATCCAAAGGAAAATTCAGGTTCAGTATTCCAGCAAGTTAGCAAAATGAATGCTGTTTTTTCAGACTTGGAAAACAAATTAGATATGAATTTTTGCAGGTTTCCTTTGAATCCTCAAAACCAACCATTCTCTGAGCTTTTGATGCCCCAGTGGCCCATCCCCAATTCTTCGCCGCTTTATAGCACATATAGGAATAGATGAAAATGGCGAAAATCGAGACAATCGCATTGTTGGCACGATGTGGAATGTTGTCATAGTAGAGCTAATGGAAAGATTAGGGACTGAATCAAATTGAATCAACCGATGCACTGTTATCTGTGTAAGGGTTGAAGAACCAAGCGCCGAGTGGAGAATGGAATAGAGCTGATGGGGTGAAGAGGGTGATTGACATACCGTAGCAAAGACCAAGGGCACTGAAAGGATGAGTACTGTAGCTAAGAGTAGAGTACTGTAACTGTTGCAAGTATTGTAGTTATTACAGAGTGCTGTAAGTACCAGATAGTACTAAGAGTACTCACCTGTAAGTACCAGATAGTACTCCAAGAGAGTACTATTCCAAGAGAGTACTATTCCAAGAGAATACTCCAAGAGAGTACTATTCCAAGAGAGTACTCCAAGAGAGTACTATTCGAAAGAACTAAAGCTACTAGAGTACTGTACTAGCACTAGAGCTACTAGAGTACAGTACTGTAACCTTCGGAGAATCCTTAACTACGAAAGAATACTGTAACTGACTCACCAAATCACCGTGCACACCTTCTTTGTCAAGAGCTCTGTCACAAAATGCCAATCAGCGATCTCAGCCAGACGATTTGTCGCCAACATGATACAGCAACAACAAGATGAAGACCACATTCCTTAAATCAAAATTTCATTGAGAAAACATTCAACTCACCAAGCCCAAGTGTTCCTGTCGTATAGATTAAATGTTGATTTGTGCAAAAGACAGCACCAATCCACATCAAATACCCACTTATCCACGAGCTCATCACAATCATCGTCAAATCACCTAGAATTGAACTCTCACAAACAAATGTGATTCAAATCAAGGCATTCATTGCCTCAGTATCTACACCTACCGTAAATACTGTAATTGGACCCCATGGGGTATTATTAGAGGGGGTACTATTAGAGGGGTGGGGTCCAATTACAGTCTTTACGGTAATTGCTAACTTTACCGTACATTGTTTAACTTTTATCTTGACTTATAACAATACACTGATTTCTAAGAAGCAATGATACAGTACACTGATTTCTAAGAAGCAAATCAAATCCAAACCGACCAATCCCCATGAACACCATGATCATGAATTTTGAATTGAATGAACCATGAATTTTTGACGTTGCCGAATTACGCATCAACTCCTAAAAAGAAATGATAAATTAGTTAGCTTTCAAAAACATACCTTTTAGCATGTCATTTCATATCTTGACTTATAACAATACACTGATTTCTAAGAAGCAATGATACAGTACGCTTTCAAAAACATACCTTTTAGCATGTCATTTCATATCTTGACTTATAACAATACACTGATTTCTAAGAAGCAATGATACAGTACACTGATTTCTAAGAAGCAAATCAAATCCAAACCGACCAATCCCCATGAACACCATGATCACATAGCAAGGCGATTTCAAAATCAATTTCGCTTTGATCATTCCGATTAAGGAGAGGACATAAAAGAGCTGAAATCAAAAGTATTATTTGGGTACTATGAGATTATATCCCCAAGCACCGGTCGAGCCGAGTTGATGACTATTTTACGGCCTCCAAAGTTTTCACAGAAACTCAACCCTCTAATCCCCCACAAGATCTCATCGTCAGCTCAGTCAGCTACATTTTCCGACCCCGCATCGATAGGTTCTGATCAGTTTTTGAGATAGGCTTTTGAGATTTCGAGGAATTTAGGGTGACTACTATTTAAGAAATTCCAATAGGAATACTTTCCAATAGGAAAAAGTATTCCAATAGGAATACTTTAAATAGTAGTCACTTGGAACACTTTTTCCTATTGGAAAGTATTCCTATTGGAATTCCTTAAATAGTAATCACCCTAAATTCCTCGAAATCTCAAAAGCCTATCTCAAAAACTGATCAGAACCTATCGATGCGGGGTCGGAAAATATCTCCGTGGGGCTCCGTGGAGCTCCGTGGGGATACTATCCAATTTGTTGTACTTTTCGTTTACCATGAAAACTGTTCCAGTTACTTCCAAGTAGATTGCCAATAGTGGTCTCGGTCTTCCCTTTGCAAACCATTCCTCTCTTGTGTGACCCGAACAATTGTAGTAATGTGGATCAAGATGTCCGTCTTTTAGCAATGGCCAGAGTCCGTAGATCATGAAAACTGAAAGATTTAGAAGAAATCTGATAAATCTGATAAATCTGATTCAAGAACAGGATAAAACTAGCCTTTCTGAGGCTTTTCTGAGCAAGTGCTGATTAAGTTCACTGACTCAAAATGTTTTACATTAATATAAAATCTGATATCATGTGAGGAAAGGTTAGAAATTCACTAAGAATCAAAAACAAGTACAGTCAGGAAATTGGAGTGTTGTGTAAAGGTTTGAACACTTGAAAAAGGCTAGGCTATCGAACGAGCTATCGAACAAACTATCGAACAAACTATCGAACGAACTATCGAACGATCTATCGAACGAACTATCGAACTATCAAATGAAAACTATTCCTGTCGTTGATCGTTGAGAACAAACCGACCACGTGTGATAAACTGAAAGCAAAATACGGATAATGCCCAAGAAAATCTTGTTATCCAATAATTTATCTTACAAAAACAGTCAAAAAAAACATGAATACAAGTGAGTATGATTGTATGAAAAGCGGAAAAATCTCAAGGAAATCTCAAAAAAAAGTGTCATTTTCTGTGTTTATCTCAAAGAACAATGGGGGTTAAATTGGATGTTGGACAATGAATGACAATCAATGGAAATCAAGCGGTTAAAGCTCATTTTTTCAAGAGATCTAAATAGATTCTAGTTTCCAGGTTGGTTTTTGAATGAAAAGTTGATGCATACAGTAGGCTATTTATTGATTTTATTGATTCATTTACTCATTTACTAGATTCAAGGCTTATTTTGAGATGTTGTTATGTGATTTTAAGATTTATTTCTAAAACTAGACATAATTAGGAATATTTGTATTAGGTTGTCCAGTTATGAATGCACGCCTGCTCTTGAACAGCATACACTACTGGACAATGAAATATGATATTTGAAAAAAGATCGTCACTTTCGCGCGTCTGTAACTTCCTTGTCTTTACCGTATTTCTAAATATTAATATTACCATTGTGTAGCCCTGGAAAAGAGGTTTCAGAAAATGTAGAACACTAATAGTTTAAACTCAAAGACAAGGGAGTTACAGACGCGCGAAAGTGACGATCGTTTTTTCAAATATCATATTTCATTGTCCAGTACTGTAAGTGCCTAAAGAAACCCACTTTCCCACAACCGGCCTGAGTCGTCTGCACACAAGCACCAGCATCCACACACCAGCTAAACTTATGACTTTAACTTTAGCTTCACTCATCACTAAAGGCTATACAATTTTATCAAACCCTATTCTCTACATGCTGTTCAAGATTTCTTATTTATTACAACTTTTCGTGTTTTTGACGTTAAACTAATTAATTTTTGATTTAATTTCCGTGTGGGATGACCGAGACAAAGTTTCGTCTTCGTGCCAGCCTTTAGTATGACTTCAAATTGGGCAAAAATGCCGCTGAATCTCATCGAGATCTCCGCAAAGTATTTGGCGAAGATGCTATTTCGGAAAGCCAGTGTCGCCGATGGTTTCAACGATTTCGAGAAGGAAATCAATCTTTGGAAGACGAAGACCACCAACGACGACCTCCTGCGATCGATAATGCAGTACTGAAGCAGGCGATAGAAATGGATCCTCGACAAACTACATGTGAACTTCCAGAAATATTTAGAGTAAGCCGTCAAACAATTTCCGAGCATTTACATCAATTGGGGAAAACAAGTCGACAAGGGAAATGGGTTCCTCATCTTCTCAGCAATGCCAATAAAGCTACTCGTGTCACTATGGCGGGTATTCTTCATCGTTTGGCAAAAAAATACTGGGTTTTACGATGAAATCCTTACTTGCGATGAAAAATGGATTCAATATGATAATTCTACACGAAAACGGCAATGGCTAGAGCCTGGTGAGGAGCCAATACCAACACCAAAACCCGACTTCTGTGTTTATCTCAAAGAACAATGGGGGTTAAATTGGATGACAATGAATGACAATCAATGGAAATCACGCAATTAAAGCTCATTTTTTCAAGAGATCTAAATAGATTCTAGTTTTCAGATTGGTTTTTGAATGGAAATTTGATGCCTACAGTAGGCTATTTATTGATTTTATTGATTGATTTACTCATTTACTAGATTCAAGGCTTATTTTGAGATGTTGCTATGTGATTCTAAGATTCGTTTTTAAAACTAGACATAATTGGGAATATTTGTTGATATTGAGCTTCTTGATTCAAGCTTGATAACGATAGAAAAGTAGTCTCTGAATTTTTGACGTTGCCGAATTACGCATCAACTCCTAAAAAGAAATGATAAATTAGTTAGCTTTCAAAAACATACCTTTTAGCATGTCATTTCGGGCAAGAACGGAGCGTTGAGGACGAGAAGTCGAAAAATAAATAATGAAAATAGGTAAACAAAGGATCACATTTACAAAACAAAAGATCACATAAGTGCTGGACATTTCTAAACATGCTAGAAAATTCCGAAAGACGTGCTTTTTTATCGGTTCATGCTACTACCCACTTGATTTCTAGATATCGTCGCCTTACTATCGCTTCTCGTCTCTTTTTTTTTTTCTGCACTGGTTGCCTGGCCGATACCAAAAGCTTGGGTGGAATTTTTGTCTTCGAAATGGGATTTAGATTGAGCTTTAACACGCTCAGTTTTTCGTTGGGTAATGTAAGGTATTGGGTAGATAGCTTTGTAATCTTTGGCTTTTTCTCTTTAATTTTATCAGGAAACAAGAAAAAAAGAACTATAAGAACAAAGGAAAACAAAAAAAAAATGACTTTTAAATGCAAAGCAATGACAAATCAAATGATCACAAAGCAACTAATCAATAAAGATTTTGACTTATTCTTACAGTTTTTGATGTAATCTACTGTTTCATTAAACATTGGCTTTTAAAAAAATAATATAAACTTAACTCCATACATATAAAATTAACTCTATACATATAAACTTAACTCCATGGGGGTGGGACAAATGCGACCTTTTTTTTTTGCGCACCTGGACATTTGCGCACCTTTTTTTTGCTGGAAAAGGCCTTAGGAAAGGTCGTAGAGCTTCAAAAATGTTTCCACAGAAAGGAATCGTATGCGTAGATTCCGAATTTCGACAAATCAGACCTCGCTGACACGTCAAATTTGGGCTAAAAGGCAAAAACTGCGGAAAAGCGTTAAGTTGCGTAGTTTTTGCCTTTTAGCCCAAATTTGACGTGTCAGCGAGGTCTGATTTGTCGAAATTCGGAATCTACGCATACGATTCCCTTATAGGGAAATATTTTCGAAGCTCTACGGCCTTGCCTAAGGCCTTTTCCTAAAAAAAGGTGCGCAAATGTCCAGGTGCGCAAAAAAAGGTCGCATTCGTCCCACCCCCAACTCCATACATATAAAATTAACAAAATTAATCAACTCCTTTAGATAACAATTAGAAAAGTAAAGGAAAACTGGAAGATTTCAGAGATCAAGCAAGTGTTTGAACATTAAGAAAACAAAAAATAAAACAGAACTAAGAAGAAAACTTTTAAAATCTAATGAATTTAAAAAGAATGATTAAATTAAATTAAAATCTACTCTATTTAAGGTTTTATTTATTTATTTAAGAGAATTGTATGTAAATTGAATTCTAACAAAAGAATAAACTCTTCCGCTTTTTCACAACTTCTTTTGTTTCCCAAATTGATCGAATTCTTGAATGATAGACATCTCCATATGGAACAATTTTTCCATTAAGACGTGGCTCTTTCGTGCCCAGGAATTCGCGTTCTCTTCTAAGAATTGATATTGAAGAATTTCTCAAATTACCCTCACCTTTCTCTCAACTTTCGAAGAGCATAAAGATAGAGAATTGGCATGATCACAGTGTAGTAAGGCATTATCTAAAATAATTTTGAAAAAGTTTTATATGAAAGCTTTATGCATATGAAACTTACATTTGTTAACCCATGATAGTTTTTCTTTGCCACAAGATCTAATGAATTTAATATCATCGGCGAAATGAGTACAGAAATGTTGTTAAACAATAGAACAGCTCCGTGGAAGAAGATCACGGGAATAAAGGCATCAACGACGGTCAATGAATAGCGAAGTTTATAAGTGATTTGGAGGGATTGATGATTTCTGAATATCTGCTGTTTTTGGGAAATCTTTGATCTCTATGCAAGAAGAGTTACAGTATTTTGTTAATAGCTTTTCAAATTGTTCGCTCAAGGCTTTGGGTTTTGTAAGAGAAGAGAAGAGAGGAGAGGAGAGGAGAAGAGGAGAGAAGAGAAGAGAGGAGAAGAGAGGAGAGGAGAAGAAGAGAGAAGAGGAAGAGAAGGGAGGAGAAGAGAAGAGAAGAGAAGAGGAAGAGGAAGAGCAGAGGAAGAGAAGAGAAGAGGAAGAGAAGAGAAGAGGAAGAGAAGAGAAGAGGAAGAGAAGAGAAGAGAAGAGGAAGAGTTATTGTAACTTAACTCTTAACTCTTAACTGTTAAGAGTTAATTGGATTTGTGAAACTAGTTTTCTGTAGACAATTTTGTAAGCTAAATTTCCTTCAAATTTTGGCCCATTCTACCCAATTTTGATTCGATTTGCTTCACGATTTGTTTGGATCTGAGAAGATTATAGCTTCACAAATCTCCACTTTTAGAATTGCCCACTTTTTCGGCAAATTTACACTCAAAAACCCTTTCCTCATTAAGTTCTCATTAAAACTAACGAAAAGTTTAAAAAAAAAAAATTGATCTGAGAAATTGGACACAAAGTTCATAGCATTTCAACCGTGACAAGTTCTTCTCAAAAGCCTGGAGTACGCTTTCTCTAGTCTTTGGTTTTAGATACTTTTTTTAAAGCTAAATTATCAGTTCAAAAAGGCAACAGCATTCTTGGAATCTTTCGCCAAATTTTCTTCAGAAACTCAGAAAATCTCTCACGTTTTGAGTTTTCTCTTGCAAAATGTCCTCAGCACAAGGCAATAGGCCATCGTTGGGACATCAACACAGATAATTGCTGTTGCTATAGTATTGCCCAAAGGAGCAAGGGTCTAAATTTGAGTGGAATTGAGAAGATAAGTGCAATTG